TAGGCGATCCGCTCGAGCGGGTCTTCTTGCGCTCGAGCGGGGATTGCACACCTCCAGTATTTCGTGTTCCTGCAAAACTTCTACAGATGTGATTTTTACGCTCAAGCGGGTTTGTTTACGCTCGAGCGGTAGCGTTCAAGCGGGTTTGTTGGCGCTCGAGCGGATAGTGCTTTCTGGGTATAAGTTCTGGAAGGGGGAAATCTACGCTCAAGCGGACTGGTTTTCGCGCTCGAGCAGAAGTGCTTTATTCTTGTGTCTTGGCGCTCGAGCGGGCCTTATTACGCTCGAGCGTGTCCAGATTTTTGTTCTTGGCGCTCGAGCATTATGTTCTCCGCTCGAGCGGGTTATGCGTATATGAGTTATCCGCTGGGCGATTTTAAATCACTTTTTGCTTTTCTTTCTCTTTCCTACTTTTTCTAAAACCCATTTTGAGAGCTCCTCTCTCTAAAACCTTGACTTCTCTCTAAGTATTGATCTAGTAGGAGTGAGTTCCTCACCTTCGGCCTTTGTAAAAGTTGTGTTGATCGTCAAGGGCGTCATTTTGATCCGAGAATCTTGGTCTTTGGAGCACTTTGGTTTTGGTCTCTTCTCCATCCGAGCTCTAACTTCGAGGTAGGGATATCCTACTCCTCTTTATGAGCTTTGTCTTTAAATTTTTGCATTTTGATATGTTGGGGGTTGTTGGGTAATTTTGAGAGAGTTTGGACCTTTGTGTAATTTTACAAAAGTTGGGGTTTTTATTTATATAAAACCTAAATGCATGTTTGGCATGGAAAAGTGAAATTAATGTTGAAACATAAATGAAAATGGAACCTAAGGGTTGTAATGTTAATTATGAAAAATACCCTAATTACATTAATTGATTAATTTGTATAATTAATTGTTGGAAATGAGGGATTGATTTGAGAATGTGGAAATTGGAAAGGAAATGGGTTAAAGGGTGTGGTTGGATCATTTATCGCTCACCTAATTGAAATGTTGATTTAATATCCATTTTTGTACATTTATTTTTTGTTTAGAAATAACTGCTTTGGGCTATCGGTGGAGGATAGTCTTGATTGTTATAGACAATGCATGATGATTAGGCAAACTAAAACTAATCAATTGAATGTGTCATAGAGTATGACGATGGATAGAATACATTAATTTTATGTATTGATTGATTGTGTATAGAACCCTTGTGTTTATATGCATTGTGTGTAGAGGAGGAGATGGGGGATGTACTCCGCGGTTTAGGGGAAGATGGGGGATGTACCTCTAAACCGGATAGTGTTGGGAGGAGATGGGGGATGAACTCCGTAGATACAGCTCATATGCTTGTCTAGAGAAGTGAAGATACAGCCCATAGGCTTATCTTTGAGAAATGTAGATACAGCTCATATGCTTGTCTAGTGAAGTGTGGATACAGCTCATATGCTTATCTATTGATGCTTAATATGTTTAACTGTTGATGTAGATACAGCTAATATGCTTATCTGTTGATGCATAATATGTTTATCTGTTGATGTGTTGATATAGCTAATATGCTTATCTATTAAATAAAAATGGATGATGAAAAGTGACATAGACTCGTATGTTATGAAATTGTGACGTGAGATATGTGGATGTATCAGTGTTGGCCATCTATCAATTGCTAATCTTTTAGTCATTGTTCATAGTTGGTTTAGTATATCTCTGCTGGGTTGTGGTTCACCCTATATGGGAACATCATTTTCAGGTACAGGTAGCATGCCACCTCCAAGGACATAGCTTGGGAGGCTAGAGACGGACACACTTTTGTTGTCTTATTTCTTTTGATGTATTACATGTAAATTCAAGCCAAGGGCTTAATATGTAATTGAGTTAGTACACTCTTTTGTAACCAAGTGTTAACTTGGAAAGGTGTAAGCCCGTAAGGCATTTGCTTTTGTCGTTAACATGTAATACTTTTGTAATGAAGTATCCTGATGAATTGAAGAATGTGGATCTTTTGTATATAAATGTATGTCTATATTGATGGGTTTATTGTTATTATTTTGAGGGCGTTACACCCTCTACTTTTCTGCACATCTTTTCGTAAAAAGCAAAAAAATTACTAAAATAGCTTGTTCCCAAACTAGGCCTTAATTGACACAATTTAAAATTTGGGATCACAATGACACATCACATTCTTTGGGGACTAAAAAGGTAACTAATCCTTCCTTCTATAATACATTATTCATAAATGCTTCCATATTGTGGGAGAATAGGCAAAATAATATTAACTGTTCAATCTACAATCCTACATAACGCTACATAATCTTAACAGATGGAAATCTACCTAAAAAAATCTAGTACTCACCCATAGATCAATGGGAAGCATAACTTTTGCCTACACATAACAGAATTATTTTCAACTGAATCCATGCCATAAATGTGGAGGTGCTCTGACTTTTTGCATTTAAAATTTTTGAACGTCAGTTATGTCTTACGATGCTACATAATACTAACATAATCATAATAGATGGACACCTGCCTAAAAAACATGGTAGCTTCTCCCATAGATCAATGGGAAACGTAACTTTTTCCAACACATAACAACAACATTACCTTCAACCAAATCCTTACTGTAAATGTTAAGATCCTCTGATTTTTGCGTATCACATTTTTTAATGTCCTTCATGTCATGTGCTTTCTTCTTATTTGGTCTGAAAGCAAAACCTCAGTGAAGTTAGCAATTATCAGATTTGATCTAGCATTTTAAGCTTGACATGGAAATACTAAAAGTAATTATACCTGGTGTAGATCAATGGATCTTCCACAGAATTTGGCTCAGAATATAGTTGACATTCACCAGATGATTGTTGAGGATGCTTCAACCCACTCGTTTCTGCACAATACACATAAATCTTAACTGGTCTAGCTTATTTGCACCACCACCAAGTCCTACAAACAGTTTGTATTAAAGCAACACCTTGTGAAGTAGGGGCATTATTGATGGCCTGGGCTTTGAGTTTTTTTGCTTCCATGGCCAAATGGGTATTTAAGGTGAAGAATTTTTTCTTGCCTCTGTAAAAAGGTGGAGTTGAATGGCTTCTTTTTGGCCTTCTCTTACAAACATATCCTTCTTGTTGATATATAATCGGATCCTTTAGGCCTTCATCCACAACATCATAAATTGCTGAAGAAATATGGTGTGACGTTACTGCAGAACAGTTGGCATTATATTTACCATGCGAGTCTAAACATAACCACTCTGTTTCATCAATAAATATATCGGGACATTTTGAAAAGAGAACATCATCTAGATTATGTTGTTGGATAAATCTACAATTATCTTCCTTGGAACGAACATAACTTTCAAAACCTAAGCACATGTTTGCAAAACTTGTTGAGAAGTCTTCTTGGCTTGAGCTTTTTCGCAAAGAATCATCAAAATAAAAACCACGGTCCTTAATAACCCTTTCCGCTAAATAGTCATATCTATTGTCATATTTGATACGCCTCTCAAGTGCATTCTCATCAAAGAAATTATCCACATTCTGAGATTTGGTCCTAAATAATGGATCTGACATTACAGAAGACCATTCAGATTTAAGAGACTGACGACTTGAGAAAAATTCTCCAACACGTGCAATTGAGTCTGGTGGAAGGTCATTCTCTCCAGCTAAACACTCTCCACCTATTGCAGAAGACTCTATTGAATCCCTTGACAAAAAATCCAGACCTGTAAGCACCTCACACTTAGACATGGGTCCGGGGGAAGACCAAGCACTTGCTGCTTCATCCTACCATAGAGTCCCTGGAAGGAAATCAAACCTCTAGTTATTGTCATCAATTTCTCCAACACAAACCCAATCATTAGGTTCAAGACTCTTTCTTTTGGCTCCAAAACCATTAATCCGAAAGTCAAATCCTTCAGAGCTTGCAGGTGATGCCCCATCAACTGGAAGGCTTCACCTACAGGAGCAATTATGCAGAAAGGGCTTTAGATCCTCGCTGATCTTGTCCACATCATCACCTATTTCAAAACAATCAGGAGATAATGCACTCCCATTAAATCCATTACTTATGCTGGCATCCACATTGAAATGTATATCCTCTAATCTAGAACCCAAAATATAGTCTGTGTGCTCACTGGATCTTTTTTCCCCAAAGAACTTATTCCCCAAGAAATGGTCTTCAGAAGAGAAAACATTATGGTCAGTTGCCTGCAGATAGCTAGCACTCTTTTGGTTTACAGTTACTCTGGATGGGGCAAGCAATCCATCACACAATTGGAATGAGTAGTCAGTTTGATACAAAGATCCCAACCTGATCTGGTGTTCTGAAGCATCTTGACAAGAAAATCTATTGTCTTTCCAGTGAAACATATGGTCACTTTCTTTAGTTGGCATCTCCAACTGGGGGGAGAGAAGGCCAAAAGAAGCATGGTGATTGTATATCCTGCACCTCCTTTTTGCAATTTCATATTTTTCTGGCAAATCTGCTAATGTTTGGCAACAAAAGAAATCTTAGGATACACATGAAGGAAATCGATTGGGTAAATTACACCTTTGCTCATTGTTTGAGCCAAATTTCAGTTTAGTCCCTATAGCTTCAATTTCATCAATTTAAACCTCATACTTTCAATTCCGTACCAATGTGGTCAGCTGTCATTAACATTTTGGATGGAAAACATGTGTGAAACTAGAGGGACAACAGTAGAATTCAAAAGAACTATAGGGACCACAGGTGTAACCTATTCATTTTTCTTTTTGTGCAGGAATTGCTAAAATTTCCACATGTTGCCTTTTTCCGTCCAAAATGCTAACCACAATGGATAGAGGAACCACATTGAAACGTAATTGAAAGTATGAGGTTTAAATTGATGAAATTGAAACTACAGGGACCGAAGTGAAAACTTCACTGGACCTAAAGGGACCAACAGTATAATTTACCCAAACAGATTTTTTGCCAGTTCACAAGCAAGCTATATAAACATCATTCATGAAATTTTGTTACTCTGGAAATGTGTTCTCTCTTTTCCAAATAGTTTTGAGGAATGTAACTATTGAAACAACTAGATCAGGGTATTCAAACTCTATATACAGAATTATCAGAAGCAAGACATTTAATAATAAAATATAGATCCTACCTTTTTCTGGTGATGAAACATCATCACCTTCCCTCCAGGTATTGTCTTCTTCTGACATAACAGTACCACGGCTAGAGGAATTTCCTTGAAACATATCAAAAGTCAAGACAAGTTTAAGAAATGAATTAACAAAAATAATGTTAACAGACAACAAAAAGATTATTCACAAATTTAGCAGTTTACCGTAAGAAAATTTTTCAGTCCACAAGTGTGTGATGGCCTTTTCAATACAATTAATAATGGGAGACCAATCCTGAGAGAGAGAGAGAGAGAGAGAGAGAGAGAGAGAGAGAGAGGATCAAGGGAACAATTGGATTCCTAAATTACTTCACAACAGAGTGATAACCAAACAAATTAAATTAGTAAGACTAAAGCCTTGAAGGAAATACTAGGACACTGTAAGTGAGAAGAATGAGGTAGACAAGCCATCTACAGCATTTAGGCAAATGAATCACACACATGGAGGAAGAAACAACACCAATCATCCAAAATTGACAGAATGAAGGAAAATATATGTATATATACTGCTATATCAAGTGTAATGCACAAATGAAATTTTTTCAACAAAAACATCAATCCCCAAACAATCCCTGTTTCAACAGAAGCATGCGATCAACAGTGATCGATGTGAAATCGATCCCTCACTTTGAAAGTGATGGATCCCTTATTAGTTGTGATCGATTGCCACCCTAGTTTTCACAAATCCTTCGTAAATTGGCTTTGGAAGCTGAGTTTCAATATAAACACCTCTATAACTTGGTTTTCTATATCCCAACCATTGTTTTTTCACAGTCAAAATTCTGTAAACTCTAGAAAAATTCTGAGCAAATATTTTGATCATTGTGAGAGAATTTTCTCGAGATAGTTTTCCAAAAACCTTACATATCTTTGCATTGTTGTGTTCTGCACACAGGGTTGATTGGGTAATTGGATCCGTTCAAGAATAGAGATCGAGGCTGTTGCTTCGTAGTGTCCAGAAGATCAAAAAGGCTGACTGAGTCAAGCTATGCTCGTGGAGTAACTACAAGTCATCAGAGTTGTAGATAAACCTAGGTATACGGTTGTAAGTTTTCTCGACTGTGTCCTGTATTCTATCATCATTTGGTGGATTTTTGTTGGGTGTTGTGGCCATGGTTTTTCCCTTTTGGGCTTTCCATGTAAAATCTGTGTTATCGTGTGATTGCTATTTACTGTGGTAAATTTTGATTAAAAGGTTAAAATAGGGCTAATAAACATAATTCACCACCCCCCAACCCCTTTTCCGTTTCTAGGCACATTTTACTGAAGTCTCCAATATTTCAACTTTTTGAGAAATGACAAAAATCACTTTTCCACTCAAAACAATCTAATTGACAAAGGGCAAACAAACTTCATAAGCCAGGAAAATTCTCAATCAATTAGCTAATTATATATATCACAATTCATGATCAAACAAGAAGAAATGTTACCTTGAATTCAACAGAAGTCTTTGATGGTTCAAAAGTTATATCATACCAAGATCTTGGGCAACTTAAATTCAAAATGTATGTTTCATATGTTTGAGACCTACTTCGCTTCCCGTTTTGTAACTTCATGTTAGCCTCTTGCAGATCCGAAGAGTTGAACCTAGTGACTAACTCATTCAGCAGTTTATGAATTGGGCCCTTGCAGATATAAAGAGAGTTGATGTCTACATAAGTGAAGGTCAAGAAAATCAAAATTCTCAATTATCTCAATTTCCGATCTTTTTGTTTTATCAGTATCTTAATTGCTAATCTATCTAGTGCAATATAACCTTTGCACACTAACAAGATAATCAACTTCATGGATACAGACAAATTGACAGGCCTGCAAGAAAAAGGACCCTCAATTAGCACTATTGACAGTGGGGAATCAGTAAAGCATATCAAAACAGTTAAATAGTTATATCATCAAATGAAGTATACCTTCACAAATGAAGTATCACGAGGACTAGACATATATCCAGAAAGCTTTAATACACCATCAGAGACATTTAATTCATGTAGAGAGCTGAAAATCTCAATTCCAAAACCACTCGTCAACAGTGACAAAGGAGATGAGGAAGGAGTCGTGCAGAACAACTCATCCTCACTGCATGCAGGTAAAACAAAATGTAAGCAAACACATATATGACCCTCCAAGTGCTATATTGACAAATGTAGAGCAGGAACACCTCTCAATATCAACAACTTCGAAGAATACTTTTGGATGAACAATGGCAATTCTAAGAACACATTTTTTGACTGAGTGCAAGACCTTCTTCGGGCTTCCAATTTCATTATGCAAATCACAACCAAATCAAGTTAGTGCACATCATCACGAAAGAGTACATTAAGAAGATACACCACATCGAGATAGGTAGTTTTTGGCTTTGAACCTCTTCTAGTGAAAGCCTATCAGACGTACTAGCTAACCAGTGGATGCGATGCCTTGAACTATTCAACTGTTTGTGTAAGCCAAGATAATAGACTACACATAGTGTATCCTTAGACATAGTTTGGTTCTTACGGTTGTGTTCATTTTGGCCCTGAACAACGCCTGGTAATTCATGAGCGCTCTAGAGAATTTAGCTTTCTCATCTCATAAAACCGGCCCAGTTCACACTCATATAGGTGATTACTTATTAAGAGTGTCCTGCTATACCCCACTTGGATGTCCAAGCTATAAGAATCATTAAAAGCAAAGCTTACCCTACTAACGCTGCAGGTATCACTCTTCATATCATAGAAATGGGTAAGAATAACCTCCTTAGTGATACGTGAAGTCATCCATAATTCAGTTGTCCCTTTGAACCTAGATCTTGGAATCTCCAGTCAACTAGGTTGGGTTGCCATTATGGCAACTTTTAAGTAATAGGCTTTAATCCCATTCCCCTCGATAAATAGTACACTTGCTCTCTGGCTAGCTCTTTAGTCAATGGATCTGTAATATTCTCCTTTGACTTTACATATTCCATAGAAATTATTCTATGTGAGAGCAAATGCCTAACGATATTATGTCTTCGACAAATGTGTCGAGACTTACTGTAGACACCCCATTTTTGACCGCCCTTAAGACTTGAGCGCCACTGATGGTCTACTTGGTGGTAAAAAGTGTGCAGTGCAAGGGTTCTATTTTCTTCAGCAAAGAGAGAGTCAAATCCCAACTTCACGCCCCATTTTTGGACTAAAACTATTTTGAATGGTTTTTAGACCTTAAAACCCTCTCTTTTAAAATATTTTTGTAAAGATAATTCTACGATATTCTGACGCTCGCATTTGTTAAATGTCACGTTTTTCGGTAAACCAAGCAAAGACAAAGTGGAAATGAATGAAAGAGAGATGAACTCTTTGAAAAATATTTTAAAACGCCTTGTTTAGGGGTTTGAAGTTGAAGAAAAGAGAAGAGGAGAGAAGAAACCAAGTTGAGGGAGAAAATGGGTATGAACCGTTAAGAGAGAATCGAGTAGCGCTCGCTGAATCAGGCCTATCCTTTTGAATACTTGGATTTCAGCTATCAGGCCACCACCATTGGAAAGAAGACTTCCGGAGCTACAGTTTAGGCTCAAGAATGACCTGAAATGGAGTCCAGATGAAGGAATTAGGTTTGCTTCAAGTCGGGGACTAGGACTAATTTTTGTTGCCGGCCTCTATGGGAGTGTGGCGGCCATGAATGGCCAATGCCGTCCAAAAGTGACCCCTGCTGGCCATCAATGAGCCACTGTCGGCCACCACTGATGGCCGGCAGACCCCTTGTCTCAACAGGTTTCACGCTGGATCTTTTGAGCCAACTGGAATCCTTTCATCTCCCCTCCATACACGTGTATGGACGGATGAAGCTCTTGCCAAGCTTCTTGAAGAAGCTTTGCATTGTTTTCCCTCTATATAAGGGGAGGCCCTCTCTCCTTAGAAGGGGTTCAGCCATTTTAGAAGAGTTATAGCTCTCTCTCTCTCTATATTTCTTACTCTCTCTCTATATTGTTGTTAGTTTTGTGCCTTGTTCTTGCACTTTTACACTGCAACACATAGAGATACACCACCACCATTGGACTGAGGTTCTTGGGAAGGTTACTTAAGTTCTGAAAGTGAGTTTTTGGCCCTTGAGGATGCTGTTTTCAAAGTTGGACTTCAAGGGTGAGCTTCTTCCCCATTTTAGCACTTTTTTGTATCTCATTTAGGCCATTCTTGAATATTGTTTTAGGTCTTGCTTTCAACTGAAAAAAGTCTTGTATTTAGGTGCTTTTGGTAATTGTTTAAGGTCTTTGTGCTGTTGAGGGTCTTCAACCCTCTTATTTGCTTTGTTTAGCCTTGTTTTGAGCCATGCCTTAAGGCCTTCGAGCTAGCCTTGGTTTGGCCTTCTAGCCACTGAAATCCAGTGGATTTTCAGTGGTAGGCATGTGGTTTTTAGGTCTCAAATCAGAGGGGGTGGCCCCCTTTCTTTTGATTCTTGTTTGCTTGAGTTTTTGGCCTTCCAAAGGAGCATGCCTCTCCGTATTTTTGAGGCTTGGTTCAGGCCCCTTTTTTGTGACTTTTAGGACCTGCCTTAAGTCTGTCCATGGCTGGTTTGGTCATATTCTGCATGCGTCTTACATGTGTAGTGTAACCCCATGTGTGGCTCATCAAAGTAGCATGTCTTTCTTGCACATATTGGCTCAATTTCAGTAGGTTTTTGGTGATGTTTTACCATGTCTTAGATCTTTTTTGGGTTGGTTTTGTCACTCCATACATGCATAATACACTTGTAGTGTAAATCACTTAAACTAGGTTTATATGCTTCATGCTTTGACATGTCATTTTAGCTTGTTTGGTTTCCATTTCAGTAGGTTTTTGGTGATGTTTTGCCATGTCATACCTCTGTTTTGGTTTGGTTTGGTGGCCCTTTACATGCTCCATACACTTGTAGTGTAATTCCATGAATTAGCCTATTATGTCTCATGCTTTAACATGTCATTTTAGCATGCTTTTGGCTTAACTTTAGGAAGACTTTGTTCATGTTTTAGCATGTTTAAGGTCTGATTTATGTTGTCTTGGTCATGCATGACTTGCTTTGTATAGCTATAGTGCATTCTAGCTTGTTAGTTTTATGTATAAAGTCTACTAGCATGTGTTATTTGACCTATTTCAATGATTTGACATCACTTGAAATGTTATTTCAGTCCATGTAATGTGGTCACACACTTGCATTTGACATGCTTTTCAATACCTTGGAGAGTTTGTGTTTTATGCCTCGTGAATGGATCATTGTGCATGCCTCTATGCTTAGGTCTTTGGGATGCCATCTCAGTGGATTTTTGGGGTTATTATGCCATGATATAACTCTGATTTTTGTTGGTTGGGTCATTCCATGCTCAGTCTTAGCAGGTGGGGTGTAATCCACCTTATTTGCCTTGTATGCATCATGCCCCATGCCCTTCATGTTAGCTTGTTTTGGCTTCCTTCCATGCATGTTTTGGCATCATTTTGACATGTTCTAGGACTGTTTTGGATTGCCTTGACCATATGCCTCATGTTTTGCATAGTTATAGTGCAAGTGCCTATGCTAGCTTTGAGTTTTGGGCACCATAGCATGCTTCACTTGCATCATGTGTATGATTTGGCATCATTTCTCATGACATTTCAGAGCATATAGGACTTCCATGTTCCCATTTCTTTCACTTTTTAAGTGCCTTTGAATGTTATGCATTGTTGCCTTGTTTGTGGCCTAGCATGCATGCCATCTTGCCTAGGTCCTTGAGCTCCCAACTTAGCATGTTTTGGTCTTTGTTTTGACCTACTTACATTCAAGAAACTAGTGCATGTCATTGGAATGCGTCGACTCAAAATTGAATTATGCAGAGGAGGAGGAGTCATATTAATGACTGTATTCTTTTTCCTTTAACTAAGGTTTTCTTTAGTAAGGTTTTAATGAGACAATCTGAATGTATCCAATATCACTTTATGGAACACAAGAATATTGTACTCTTTTCTTTAGTAAGGTTTTAACTAAGGTTTTCTTTAGTAAGGTTTTTTTTTTTTTTTTTTTA